GGTAGGACAGAACAGAGCAAATAATTACTTATCAACACTAAACATGGCCATGGGTCTTAAGATGCCTTATCTAGAAATGGTGGCCAAATTCAGAAGCCCAGAATGGTAAGCTATTAAAGTTTTCAGAAAGAAAAATATTCAGATAAGCACACAACTTCTCAGACCACACTGGATGGTAGCAAGATGGAAATAAAATAAAGCTCTATAAAGTTCTACAGAAATTATTACTTAAATAGAATCCTACATTTGAACTAGCATTCAGTGGAAAAAGAAAAGCCACCTGACAGATGACTCAGGGTATCATACATGAATTGTATATACACAGCAGGGGGAAAAAAGGAAGTGGATAAAATGTGGGATATGAGAAAGTAATGAAATGGAAAGTATTGCTTCCACACCACAAGAGAGAACCAACCATTTAAAAAAAAAAAAAAAAAAAAAAAGCCAGGACATAAAATTTGGTAAAAATCAAACTAAATGTAAGTACAACACACATAAATGGATTAAATTTACCTGTTCAAGATTTCAGAAAGTCAGCCTGGCTGGTGTGGTGTGGTTCCATGGTTTGAGTGTCAACCTATGAGCCAGGAGGTCAAGGTTTGATTCCTGGTCAGGGCACATACCTGGGTTACAGGCTGGTCCCAGCAGGGGGCATGCAACAGATCAATGATTCTCTCTCATCATTGATGTTTCTATCTCTCCCTCTCCCTTTCCTTTCCTCTCTGAAATCAATAAAAAGATATTTTTAAAGAATTTCAAAAAGTCAGCTTAATGTGCTGAAGAGACCTAAGTAAAAATGACAAAGAATAGAAAATGATAGAAAAACATTCAAAAAAATGCTAAAAGCAGGAATATCAATTTTAATATAGAAATTGTGATGATGAAAGCCACTAGAAATTTCATATTCAAGAAAAGATAAAACTCACCCAGTAGATGTGAATCAAACTTTTAGGAATCTAACATGGTCTCACAAAAGGTTTTCAAAAAAGTCAGCCTGAAAATTGTAGGACATATTTTCAAACAATTTTTGTTCATGAATCTAAATCAGATTACAAACCTCCTAGGGATGGGCAGTGAGAGTGCCATGTATCAAAACCCACAGCCTGTCACTTTTTTGTTGTTGTTAATCCTCACCCCAGGATATCTTTTCCATTGCTTTGTAGAGAGAGTAGAAGGGAGAGAGGGAGGGAGGAGAGAGAGAAACATCGATGTGAGAGGACACACTGATTGCTTTTCTCCCACATGTGCCCCAATTGGAGCTGGGATTGAACCTGCAACCCAGGTCCATGCCCTTGATGGAGAATCAAACCCAAGACTCTTTGATACATGGGCCGCCGCTCTAACCACTTAGCTCACTGGCCAGGGCGTCATAACCTATCACTTTTAAGTTCATTTCTAACAAAAGACTGAAAGCAAGTGAGCCATATGGGAGTCAAGAAACTAGAAGGAATAAAAGAAGATTCCAGCACTTGATCAATAAAACCAAACTTGGTTGTTAAAAGGGGAGGTTTGCTCAAAAAGAGAAGATTCCACCTGGCTGGTGTGGCTCAGTGGTTGAGTGTCAACCCCATGCACCAAGAGGTCGCTGGTCTGATTCCCGGTCAGGGCACATGCCCGGGTTTGGGCCCCCTGCTGGGGGCCATGCAGGAGGCAGCCGATCGATGTTTCTCTCTCATCACAATGCTTCTATCTCTTTCTCCCCCTCCCTATCTCTCTAAAAATCACTGAAAACATTTTTTAAATGTATTTTTTTTTTAAAGAGAAGATTCCAATAGATCAGGGTTCTCTATCTTTGCACTACCGCCATTTTGGGCCAGGTTCTTCTTTGCTGTGGGCTGTCCTGTATATTGTAGCATATTTCACAGCATCCTTGACCCCTCCCCACTGGCTGCACCTCCCTCCCCAGTTGTGGGAGTCAAATAAGTCTCCAGATATTGCCAAATGTCTCCTGGGGAGGGAGGGAAGTAACGTTGTGCCTGGTTGAGGACACAGGCATTGCAAAGACAAAGGGGAATATAGATGGACAAAGTCAATCACAACTATCAAGTAGAACCTCACCCCAATAAATTTGGAAAACGTGATGAAATGGATGGCGGCCCAGGAAGATATAAAATTACAAAGTAAAACGGACCAGTGACAATGTAAAAAGCTGCCATGTCCGAGATGCACCCGAAGTTGTTTACTACTGAGGTGTCTGCTGTCCTTCTGGGAGAATTCTGCTCCCTGCCCCAGGGACTGGGTGTGTGGCTCACTCTGCCCAGGGAAATGCGATCAAAACTGATGAGTCACTGTTAGGCAAAGGCTCTTCCGAGCCAGTGTGTCATCTTTTCTCTTCCCCAGATGACCTGGAACATTCCAGATCAGGGATTCCTCATTTGGGACTTGTAGATAAAATTCAGAGGGTCAAAGACCTTGTGTGGGAAATGGTCACACTTTTGTTCCTAAAACTTCTGAAATTTAGCAATTCCTCCTGTTCTGAATTTGGTTGGCTGACCTCACTAATAATGGTACCTGAGACCCTTGTGAATAGACATGAGCCAGTTCTCAAAGCAACATTCATGCTCATCGCTGCTCCATAATGAAGGGAGTTAGCAGACCAGCCACAAGGTCCTAACATTCAATGTGGGGCTTCTCAGTGCTAATGCCCATACTAGTCGTCTGGGGGGTGTGGTGGGGGTGGCTTTAAAATGCAGATCCCCGCCCCCTAACTTTCTATACTATACTATAATCCTATATAATAAAAAAGCTAATATGAAAATTGTCCCCTTGGGAGTTTGACCGCTCACTATGACGTGCACTGATCACTAGGGGGCAGCGCAGAATGAAGGAAGGCCCCAGCCAGCAGCCAGCAATTGGGGGAAGGCAGGCCCCAGCCGGCAGCCGGGAGAAGGAAGGCCCTGATCGACCCTGATCCCCGGCCAGGCCTAGGGACCCTACTCATGCACAAATTTCATGCACTGGGTCTCTAGCTGACATATAACATTGTGTAAGTTTAAGGTATACAACGTGATGATTTAATATCTATGTATATTGAGAAATGATTAACCTTATTGTGGTCACAGCTCCATCACCTCTGATAATTACTTTTTCTTGTGATGAGAACATGTAAGTTACTCTCAGCAACTTTCAGGTATATAACCCAGGATACAGTATTAACACCAGTCACCTCACTGTACCTCAGATCCCCAGAATGTATTCATCTTATAACTGGAAGTTTGTACCCTTTGACCAATATCTTCTCACTTCTCAAGCTGAACTCATAAAAACGAAAAGAAAAATACAGTTTCTGACTCAGTGGACCTGGGTAGGGCCTGAGATTCTGCATTTCAACAAGCTCCCAGGGTTGCAAGGATTCAATGTATTAAAATACCACACACTTAACACTTTGGTAGCAATTGTACTAAAATACAGCTTTTAATGGGACTTGACTACATTTAAAAACACTATTCTGGGAAGGTCCCTAGCTTCACAAAGTTGCCAGGAGTCCACAGCAGACACAAGGTCAAGTAATGCCTGTATCTGACATGTTCCAGACTGAGGCTCCCACTGGGTCCTGCAGAAAAGCCTACAGGCACGGAGCTGTGACTCACCCGGACAGGGACAGGGACAGGTGAGGGTGGGGAGGGGACGCTGGGATGAGGGGCGCAGTCTCCAGTTGCCACTTAGAGCGGTTCTACCGGCACAGCCTCCTCTACAGCCCCTCCCCACCCTCTGAAAAAAGGCACAGGCAGAGAGGATTGTGGGTGCAGACTATCAAATTTCCTAGACATGTTTCCACATTCAATTAACTGTTTAACAGCATAGGGAAAGATAAATGCCTCAACTCACTTCATGAGAGATGAACTCGGATATCAAAGCCAAACGAAGA